TTGCATTGTTGTTATAGAAGCATAGTTGATGACGAGTCTACACTTTTTTCAATCATATAGGTCTCTATCAAGCACACACATAGTTAGAAATTCTAATTTTTTTTGCTGTTATTTATTATTTGAGTTTTGGTTTGGCAAAAATCATATAATATATAAAAGTTGAAGGCATAGTGCATTGAGGACATCCACATGAGATTAAAAAATTCGATCTGATTGGTCCACATCAGTATATTCATTAAACAAAAAAATATTAAGTATGAATAGGACGGAAAAACTTGATTTAATTGGTTCACATCAATTTTTAAATCAAACCAAAATTTTTTAAGTAATTAAAACATTAAAATTTAACTAAACAAATTATGTCCAACAAGAAAAGTAAATTTAATCTGATTGATCCAAATCAACATATTTATTAAATCAGAAAATATTAATATGGTTTAAAATTTTAAAAGTTAAATAAAAAAATAACAATTAACAATACATGTATAAAAAAAAGTAATCATTATCAATTATCAATTTAAAAAAATATACAACAACTCAATTTAACAATTAAAACAATGAAAACTGAATAAAAAATATAACATAAAACTCTTGGAAGACATGATGGAGAAAGAAAAAATGGTTTTGCATGATCATTACAGTTTCCTAACAAAATTAAATATGAATCAACATGAATCATGGATTTTATATATAGTGGTACACAACATCAATAAGACTTTCAATAAAAAACTAAATATTTGAACACGTAAACCTTCAAGAAAAAAAAGAACTATAGAAATTCTATGGAAAACAGAAAATAATACCAAAATTTTAGCAAGATTATATTTCTCTAAATCAAATATATATGTACGTCAAAGTTGGATAATTCGATAGGTGTCATTGTTTTTATTGTATCTAATAGTTTTGAAAAAATTATAAATAAAAATAGGATAAATTATATATTATATATTAAATTCTCTTATATAAATAAAAAATTCTATAAATATATATAATTTTTAATAATTTTAAAGATAGTAGCTAAAAAAATAAACTAAAATATTAATAAAGACTCGCGCATAGTGCGAGTTATATACCTAGTATAAAATAAAGATTTAATTTTATTATTTATTGTTATTTATTATTTGAGTTTGTTAAAAAAATATAAAAAAAAAATTATTTTCTGTTATTTATTATTTGGGCTTGAGCTTGACCAAAAAATAAAACTAAAATTAACAATAAAAAATATTGAGTTTTTAATGGGTTTAAATTTAAAAGTTAAAATAAATTAATAACCTGTATTAATGAAATATTTTTATTGGTGTATTTTTGCTGAAATGTCATCTCTTAAAAACTTGAAAATATTGATGTGTCAAACCATGGAGAGACTTATGGATTATTGTTGTGTTGATTTCAATGACCTCATGAACTAAGCCGTTTTACATATCGTAAGGTCATTTCCCCATTTTTCTGAAAAAATATTTACTCCTTTGTTGTTTGGTCTGTTGGTCCAAAAAATTTTAAACTTGATTGTTTTTTTTCACCTTTTAGCCAGTAAGTATCTCTCTACATTTATCCACAAGCGATTATTTATGATCCTCATTAAAATTTTTAATTAAATCGTGTGATAATTTTTATTTTTATTGTCGACAATTATTTATCTTTGGTTCCCTATTTATAGACATGGTTAATCAAGCATTTTTATCATTATCATTGATTTCGATCAGGTAACCGATCATATTATCGTTCTTCTTTATATATATCCTCTCCTTTTTTTTTGAAGATTTCTAATTTTTAGAACCAAAGTATTCTATCATGTTTCTGACGTTTCATAGATTCATTATTAAATTGTTCTTTTTGAAATTTTTTGCTTATCTGAACATCTCAATTATTTTTATATAATTTTTTTCGAATTCACACACACATATATATCAAATATTAAATATATCAACTCATAAAAATAATTCAGAAGGCTAACCTTCCATATAATTTACGATAATTAACATAAAACTAAAAAAGTAGTAATTTAAACATTAAAATATAAAACAAATCAAATTATTTTCTGATTGAAAATTAATAAATAGTTCTTTTGGAACTTTGCACATATGTTTAATAGACATTTTATTCATACGATTTTTTAAAAACCTTTTATCTATATCTTTTTAGTTACCCAACTAAAATTATTTTTTTACTAAACTCATCCATCTCATTCATATTCTATGAATGACTCAAAATTTATTTCTGCAAATGGAACTAATCCAATTAGTTGAATTTTCTTTTCGAAGAATTCAACCCCTCCTTTTTTTTTGCTTTAAATCATTGCCAAATTTCTTAAAGATTTTTTTTTCATAATATTTCCATTTTATAAACCATTTTAGAAATGATAGCATAAAAATATCATAATTTTTTTCTTCTTCTTATTTTCTATCGTTTTCTATTTATCAATGGTGCTCCAAACATTGTTTTCTTTTATATGGATCTTTTTACCTACTGACTATAACTTTATAATTTTTTTCAACACAAGTTAATGATAGTAATTTCATGCTCTATCAAAATTTACTAATTTATTGATTATAATTATCAAACTAGGTGACTGGTCTGCACTGTGTGCAGACTATAAAATATTTGAAATGTTCAATTATTATTAGTATAGTATTAAAAATATTTTATTTGTATATGATTAATTATGTATTAATAATAAAATTATAAACATTTAATAATAAAAATAATAAATGAAATATAAAATGTTATAGATTTCAAAAGAAAATGAAGATAAAAAATATTAACTAAGATTTTAACATATTTTCTTAGATAAAGAAACTGTAAATATGATAATTAAATAAATGTGAAAACATTAAAATCTATAATAATTTATTTAATTATTATTTTTGGCCCGTACGCATACAGTTTTAGTGTTCAACAATAATCACACAAACAATAATTTACTTATCTTAGTGCGTACCAACCAGCTCACCGCTTTTAGAACATATACCGATTTTTAAACAAAATATAAATTGTCTAACAACTAAAATTAAAATTAGAGTGTAACTGAGATTAACAAAATGTATGCATGACAAATTTGTATGCGAGTTTTTCTTTTGCATAATTAATATTTATATCTACATGTACATTTGTAAGAAAGTCGAAGTATGGCTTTTACATACTAAAATAAAATAATAAAGTATATATTTTGTAATATATATTTTTATAATGTATGGTAGATTTATTTAAAAAAAATAATAAGTATATTTATGCATGTAGTATGAGTTAGAAATAAGTGAATTGCAATATTTAGATGTTGGTAAGTTTTTCTGATATTTTCCGCAAACGTTATGTACACAATGCAGTTATTGGCGTTTAACAACAATCACGAAAACGTCTTTATTGTTTTGTATATAATCAAAATTTATTATTTTCAATGTTTTATGATATATGATTTTTCAATAAAAATTTATTATAAACTTAATGAAATCATATTTTATAAAATTCTCCAGAAGCTCTCCGCTCATCTCTTCGTCAAATTGTTTATAATCTGCAATCACTCACTTCCACAAACTCTCTGTAACAGAATTGTTTAAGCCGATCAGATCTAATCTTTTTATGTGTATGATTTAAGGTGTAAAATAATATATTTAATATTTGATTGTTATATTAAAAATTAAGAGTTGATATGTTCCTAACTTTAATATATTTGTTAATATAAAATATAATAGATCACAACATATACAAAACTTGATTCATAAAATAATGTTTTAATATGTTGGAAAAAAAATATATGCCATGAAAGAATTAAAATGTGCAAGATAATATTTTAAATATTTCAAACAGAAACATAAAATCAATCAAAATTATTCTTTTCCTTTTTCTCTTCTTTGACTCATTTTTTTCCTTAACCTTTAATAATATATTTAACTTTAAGATAATCTCAAATGTATTTTTCTATTTTTTCTCTAAAATATAAGTGGACTTCTCTCCAACTCATTTCTATTTTACAGAAAAAGGAAAGATTATTATTTTTTCCTCTATAATTGAAGGAAAAGTAATAACCTTTCTTTTTCCTCTAAATTAGAATATTTAAAATAAAAGTGAGTTGGAGATGCTTTAAATCAAAAATATAACGTGAGATTTTTACCTAAAACTAAAGTCGTAAAGATTCATTTTTACTTTTATTTCTACTTTTTATTCATATATACAGTATTCTAATAAAAAAATTTGGCGAAGAGGATACTTATAAATTATTTTTCTCTTTGTTTATTTTTTTGTTTCATTTATAATCGAATTCTTGTTATATAATGAGAATTCATTCACATATGATATAAACTTTTTTTTTTCTTATTTAAAAATAAGACTTATTTAGTTTTAACTTAACTAATCAAAATATTTCATTTATTTTAGAAAATTTGTCATGTCATACTTATGACATGACATTGTTTTGCACTAACTTTTCTTTAAGTGTTAACACATATAATTTTTTTTAGTAAACATGCTTCTCAAATAATAGTTAGGATTTGAAAAAAGCATGATTTTTCTCTCAGTAAATATATGATCAAAGAGAAGGATTAACCATGAACTATTAACCATGAACTATGTGAATATGATCAAGGAGGAAGTTTTAACCTTTTACTCCATTTATATTATCTAAGAGACATACATTAAGACATATCATCAACTAAGACATGTCATCAGCGATCGATCAGAAGAGACAATACCTATCACTTTTTGGTATACCAATACATAATATGTTGTGAAATAATATAGTTGTAAACCATACTTTTTGATGTGTATATAAAATAGTGTTTACTACAATATAAAGAGAATTATAGAGAGCATAAACACAAGAGAGTTAGAATGCTTAGCTTTCAACTTCTTTCTTAACTTATATTTTACAGAAAGCTACTAAACACACCTATCTATAGAAAACAAGTGATCAAGACTCTTATGATGATTAATAACTTAACATGATAGAGTCATAACTTAATAGAATGACACTTGTAGATTCATGAATAATCACATTTTTCTAACACTTAATAAGTTTTGATCTTCCCTTTCCCTTTTCGTTTACCAGCTTTCTTCTTCTTCTTCTTCTTAAGACCATTCTGTTTTTCGTCATCATCACCTGCCTTAATCACAACATCTTTAGTAATCTCCTCCTGGGGTTTGCTTCTTTCAACCTTCCTCTTCTCAACAAAACTAACTACTCCACGAAGAACAACATCAGTATCATCGTCCTGCATGAGCTCTTCCGCTAACTCAGCAGGAGTAAGCTCCGTAGAATCAATCAGCCTCTCGATTTCTTAACAATATTTAGTCAATCTGTTAGTGATGTTAACGTCGTGCTTAAAATGGCCAAATCAACATAAATTTATGATTTTAACATCAATCAATAAAAAGATTGTTATTTAAATAAATTATACAAAAGATAATGTTTAGAATTGCTGAAATTTGAAAGTTCAGCATTTAAATGATCTTTTTCCCAATATTTAATGATAATTTATTACAGTCTCTCTTATTATTACAATTTACTTAGTAAGTTTTGCTCTTCCCTTTCCCGTTTCGTTTACCAGCTTTCTTCTTCTTCTTCTAACTACCACTCTGTTTTTCGTCATCATCACTTGCCTTAATCACAACTTCTTTACTAATCTCCTCCTTGGGTTTGCTTCTCTCAACCTTAATCACAATCTATCTTATTATTACAATTTACTTAGTAAGTTTTGCTCTTCCCTTTCCCGTTCCGTTTACCAGCTTTCTTCTTCTTCTTACTACCACTCTGTTTTTCGTCATCATTATCTGCCTTAATCACAACATCTTTACTAATCTCCTCCTTGGGTTTGCTTCTCTCAAGCTTCCTCTTCTCAACAAAGCTAACTACTCCACGAAGAACAACATCAGTGTCATCGTCCTGCATCAACTCTTCCGCTAACTCAGCAGGAGTAACCTCCGTAGAATCAATCAGCCTCTCGATTTCCTCACAAAGAGGATGGTTCAGGCCATCTAAACCAAGATAGTTAGAGACCAATGTCCTAAATCCTAAACCTGTACAATAGGACATAAGGATATGCATATCCATTCTTCCAGGACGCAGCAACGCAGGATCGAGTCGGTCCTTGTGGTTGGTCGTGAACACGATGATTCTCTCATCCCCAAAACTCGACCATAACCCATCAATGAAGTTCAGAATCCCTGACAAAGTCACCTGCGCGAAGACAACATCAAAGTAAGAACCAAATAAAATAAAAAACCAAACTTTCCCAAGTCACAATATTCCAAAAGATCTCACCTTTGTGTCAGTTTTTTTGCTTTCTTGATTCTCAGCTTCCCTGTCTCTCACCTCAGCATTGCAATCGATATCCTCAATCACCAAAATCGAACGATTCGTTGTGGATAACAAAACCCTCTTCAGGTCACCATTGCTATAGATACTGCTAAGCTCAAGATCAAACACATCGAACTTGAGGTAATTAGCCATGGCAGCGATCAAGCTCGATTTACCAGTTCCTGGAGGTCCATACAGCAAGTAGCCTCGTTTCCAGGCTTTACCAACTCTCTTGTAAAACTCTCTTCTCTTGAGAAACCTCTCCAAGTCATCGATTATCTTCTTCTTCGCTCCTGGATCCATCGCCAATGTATCGAACGTCGAAGGATGTTCAAGACTGATGCATCCCCAATTCCCACCGGCACACCCATCGTCGTCGTCGCTCGGGTACACATCTCGGCTATAGAGCTTCACCACTCTCAGATTCCTCTTGATCTCTTCCGATTCCGCAACGACGTGGCTCAAGTAAGAGCCCATGATTTTGTCTCTCAGCTTCTTCTCGAATGTGAGCTCGTAGTACCGTTTCACTTGATCCCCTTTCTCGTTCTCCGACTGAAAGTAGCCCCATTTCACCTCGGAGTTCTCGAACGAATCGAGGATCTCTTCTCCTTTCTCGATCGAGATTGTAAAATGCTTCTGCTTCGGGGTTTTCCCGACGCGTAATCGCTCCGTCTCCGGGCCGATTTTGTTCCGGAGGTACATCTCCGCCGCGTCGAAGACTTGATTCCTGTTCAATCCGAAGTTCTCGTCGATAATCACCGTGAGATTCTTCGATTTCGGGGTGAAAAACCGGTCGAATAAGCCGTAGAAGTGCAATCGGAGCCGGTGTGGTACGAAATCGTGGAGCATCGACTTGAAGAGCATCACGAATCCGGTTAGGGATGCGTACGCTGAGAACAGCGACGACGGTGAGAAAGCGAAATCGGATGTAGAAGGAAACATCTCTGCTTAATCGATCAGAACAAAAAAAAATCTCTCCGGCGAAATTTCCGATGACCTAAAGATTCAAGAATGGGGGTTTTAGAAGCGATGGATGTGTGAATGAAGGTGTGAGAAGAAGCACGTTTTTATAAACGCACATGGCAATTTTATCAAATTTTCTCTTATATTTTTTTTTAATTCCTTAATTTATTTAAGTTCTTTCGTTTTGTTTTTAATTAAATGAAGAACAGACGGAAATGAGAAGAAAAGTAGAAAACTAAAGGCTTTCTAGAGACGGAAGCCAAAAAAAAGAAAAGAGAAAGAAACTTGCAGAGGAAGGAAGCTTGCGTCGCAAGGCGATGTTCCGTGTACACGTCAGACGTCAATGTCAAAAACAACACGTGTCACATCCACTTGCCCTTTGCCCTTTGATTTGGTCCGCCGATGAATAAACCAAACATATAAGTCAAAAAAAGTAATCTGATGATGTTGTTGTTATTGACGAGGACGTTGTCGAGAGACATTTTGTCGGGTCTCTGGGGCAGAGAGATTCTGTGGGGCTGTTGACTTCAGTCAACTACAGCTCCGTAATGGGCTGTTGGGCCTTATCTGGGAACAAGCTATTCGACACAGTAAGTTGGGCTCATTTTAACAAATTGGGCCCGTTACAAGATTACTGTTAGTATAGTAACGTTTATCAAGTAATATATAGTGTTGAGTTGTGAAATATATTTATGATTTGTGAAATAACATAGTTCTGTGATTAATATGAAAGTTGTAAATTTTGATTTGGGCTGGATCTATATGTTTGAGAAAAATAAATGAAAAAGACCAGATGTGTTTTTTCACAAAGTTTGGTTATTCAATTAACCTAAATGCGTGCCTCTCTATAGCACCATGTCTTGGTATTTATACTTACTAGATGAGTATCCGTGCGATGCGCGGATTTTTTTTCACAATATAATTTATTAGAAAGTATAGTTATAGTTTATTTTATCGTATATTTTTAAAAAATTAAAAGATATTGTGTATTTGAATAAACATACAATACATATTTATATATTATGTAGATATTAACTATATATGTAATTAATGGTTTATTGATAAAAAAATATGAAATATATTATACCTTGTATATATATAATATATTAAATGGATATAGTGCAAATCAGAAAAGTACTATATAACAAAAATTAATTAGAGAAACTCTTCAAGCACAATATAGATAGAGACGACTCGTTTTAACATGCCGTACTTGTTCACGATGTACATTTACACAATAACAATGCCGTAGTTTTATATTTTTATGAGCTTAAATAATTGATTTATAATTCTAATTTATACAGTTGCATTAAATATTTTATAAATATATATATATTATGATTTTGATATCTTATTAATTTTAAAATTATTAATGGATCAAGTTTGAATAAAATTAATTATCAAATAATTATTAGTTTATAAAGAAATTGTTTTAAAGTTTATTATAATATTGTATAAATTTTTCTTCTAAATATTTAAGGTTCAAAATATAAAATAATTGTTATTTTTATATTTGTATAATTGTTTTTCTAATAATATCTTATAATATTAATTAAAATAAGAAAACACTCTTAAATATAAAACATAAATTTTGTTAATGATTTTTAAAAACTACCAGAAAATAGATATTCAATAATTGTTTTTGGATATTAAGTATATATTGTTATTAAAATATATTATCTAGTTCTTCATATTTTTCATATTCTTTTAGTATTATGATTAATAAGACATTAAATTTATGCATTAACTGTATTTTACATAATTTGTATCATTAAATTTAAAAATAACACATGTCATTTTCACAATAAACCAAAATGATGAAGTGACATTCATATGAAGAGAGTTAGTCATCTTTTATAATATAGATACCTAATAGGATATATATGATATCTTTAATATTAATTTCTACTTTTCTGTTTCTTTTATCATTCAATAATTTCCATAAGATGATAAAGAGCTTCTTCTCCATCAACTTGCATGATCCAAAACCACTTCATCTTAATGGCCACACCACATGCTGTCTCATGTGCTTTGTTACTTTCTGTTCTAACAATTTCTCAAACCATTCAACAATACACTAACACAATTACACAAGTTACTTTGAAGTTTCCGAGTTCTATTCCTTTTTCCCAAACGATAATCAAAACTGGTTTTGTTAAATAAAAAACACATCAAATCACTGGTCATCTCATCAATAAGATTCCTCGAAATATATTAAATAAATTTTTATGAAATTACAACTCAAACGAATAAATAAAGAACAACAAATAAACCTATCATCTACTTGAAGTAGATAATAGGAGCATTAGATCTCGAGTCCCACATACCACCTTCCCTGAGGTACTCAGCATACCTAGAAAACTCTGGTTTCGCCGTCGCTTTCTTCTTGTTGTTGCGGCGGCGACCGTCGAATAAACTAAATATTGGGTGGCTAAACTTTCCGGTCACCGCCGTTTTCTTTGACTTCTGGCGTGGAAGCTCTTCCAAAATCGCCGGATTTCCTCCACCAAGCCTAATCGAGGGTGCGTAGTACGGAACGCTAGTTGACCTCTTCAACTTTGCTCCGAGTAAACTAAACGTTGACTCATCGCTTACACGATCGTATGCACCAGGACGGTTTATTCTCCTCGTGCTTAGGGTTCTTAGCATTTCCATTTCTTGGATTAGCTTTTGTGTGATGGAGTAACGAAGTTGAAAAGTGGTTTCTTGGAGGGAGATGTTAATAAGTTGAAGAGAAGGAGACTGTTGTTTGTGTTTATTGTAAGAGAGTGTGTGTGTTTGATGTCTATATATAAATGATGAGTTATGCAATTGTACATTATTACAATTTAATATAGCCTGCTGATTGAGAACATTCAACTTCGTTGGCCTTATCTTTTTCCTCTTTCTATTATTCTTCTTTTGTTTAACTTTCTATTAAAACTACCTAAAACATGCACCGACTGTTTGCTAAACGTTGTGTTTAATTTATTAGAATATTTGGTTGGGTCTATTATTGTTGGTCTTCTTGACTTCAAGGAAACTTCCACGTAGATATACGTAAACTCGCACGTGTAAATGTATACACACACAAAAAAGCATTTTATAACCGAATATGATTTAGAGTGCTCAACTAGATGATTAGATTATTAATTTCTTAGACAACAAAAGAATCTTTAGCATTTGTTAATCGAAAATATCACGTACATTTGCAACTATACTCATTGCAGGTTGCAGCGAAAGTGCTTATCAACGAAAAAAAACAGAATTCTTACTATCAGCTTTGGACTCCCATAATCAGATCGATCGAACTGAATTTTTAAGGTCTGTCTAACTCAAGCAATAGGTCGAAAGACTATCTAAACCAGCGATGTTGAATTTGTAATTAATATTGAAAAACAAGTAGAAATATAAATGTGTTATCCCTTAACAATATATTATTATGTAACTGTAGATGGAGGATCAACATGGACTAAAAGCTGGCAAAGCCAATGCTTCAGGCATCATAAATATCATCTTTTTCATGGGACAGCAAACATTTTAGTGGTTTGGTAATTATGGCAACATACCGACATGTGTGTTGTCTGTGATTTAATAGGGTTTGTATCTGATGAGATCTTTATCGACTTTACTTTTTTTTTTAACCGAGAAATTTTCAGACCAAAACACTAACTAAACTTTTAATCTTACAAAGAAAGCAATGCTCAGTAGTCAGTGGTTCTCTCTAAATTTTTTTTTATATCAATAGTTTTTTGTATTATTAAATCCTAAAGAAGAATGGCTCAAAAACCAGACAATTTGGAAAGAAATTGTTTACATAGGAGAAAGAAAAATTTCGGGTTTGAACGCTCTTAACGAGACAATCAGTCTGGACATTAATATTGCGAAGAATAAATTCAAGAGAGAAATCATAGAGATTAGATTTGAGATACTCAAATTCTTCTAATTTCGTTGCTAAAGCAGGTTATTTCTCTTCTTCTTCAATTAGATTTATCAACAACTGACAATCTGTTTGAATCAAATGAGGTATTAGGTATGGTGTGAGAAATCGCATAGCCCATAAAAAAGCTTCCATTTCTGCATGAAGAGGGGATAGGATTTGGTCAATCGCCATCAGGCCCACCATTCCTTTCCCATCTTCGCATTTCAAGAAAAAGCTTCCACCAGATATTAAATTCTCCTATATCTAAGAGGCAGCTACCTGACATCTCACGATTCCTAGTTCACTTCTTTGATCTTGTCCTGCTTGGCATGCCCCCAATTCCTAGTGGTTCTCTCTATATGTATATTGTTTTGTTAATATATAACTTCTAATGTCATAGATCGCATTTAAGTTTTATCGGCTCAAACTATGCAATCATATTTTAATGCGATCTCTAACGTACAATATAATATCACCTGATCTATTCCTATTTATGATTATGAATTATTTAAACGAGATAAACTATATTATTCTATTAGTAATGGGCCTAACTCACACTCAAAAGTTAGTTCAAGAGTGGAGGATTGCCTCACACGATATATATTTTCCACGAATACTCTAAACTATCGATGTGGGATAATATTCCAACACACCCCCCTCACGCTCATGATTGGATATCTGAAGCGTGAAGTTTGTGGGACTGGACATCCACGGGTGCGGGTCTCACAATCAGATAGTTAGAACCTTGGGCTCTGATATCATATTAGTAATGGGCCTAACTCATACCCAAAAGCTAGCTCAAGACTGGAGGATTGCCTCACATTATATATATTGTCCATAAATACTCTAAACTATTGATGTGGGATAATATTCTAACATATTCATAATTATGTCATGGGAAAATGCATAGAGCCGAAGAAATTGGAGAAAATATTCATGCAACACTTAAAATGCAAGACCACAGAGAAATAAATTATGATTAATTAATCGTCTTCTACTGGTTGCCAGAATGGGAGCATGATCAGCTATCCGAATCCAAATCTAAACTACAAAAAAAAAAAAAATTGCAATGCATCCGAGAAAGCCTATTTACTGCAAGAGATGTCTCATTTCGGCGAAATCTTCATATAAAAAAAAATTAATGGATCTAAAGAAAGCAGTTGCAAAAGAGTTAGTGTTTCTTCAACCTAGTCATCTAGGATGCATGATACCTTGATTTAATACAATACTTGCCAGAAAATAAGTTTTGCGTTTCTTGGACGAAAATTAAGGTTTGTGTTTGTTGGACAGAAAATAAATTTGCTTGTCACCACCGTTTTGTTTGACTTTCAGAGTGACATAGCAAATGGTTCTGCTCTTAATTTAATTTGTTAGTTTGACTTAATGATTTGATTAGAAAAGTAGATTCTGATATAGACCAATTAAGTAATATTTAATCATTTTAGTCCCTGTGATATAAGCTTTAGCTAGATAATCTCACTTGATCTTCAAATGATTCTTATGACAACCATATCAATAAGAATTTCACAAATAAAATAATAAATGAATACACACAATACATCTACTTAAAGTAGATAACAGGAGCATTAGATCTCAAGTCCCACACTCCACCTTCTCTTAGGTATTCATAATATCTAGAGAACTCCGGCTTAGCCGTCGCTTTCTTCTTGCTACGGCGGAATAAACTAAAGATTGGATGACTAAATTTGCTTGTCACCACCGTCTTCTTTGACTTTTGGCGTGGAAGCTCTTCCAAGACCGCCGGAAAACCTCCACCAAGCCGTATCGATGGAGCATAGTACGGGACGCTCGTTGACCTCCTTAGCTTTGCTCCAAGAATACCAAAGGTCGATTCATCACCTACAAGCTCGTATCCACCGCGACGGCTCCTTGTCCTCGTGCTTAGGGTTCTTAGCATTTGCATCTTTGGATTAGTTTTCTTTATAAACTTGAAAATGTTTTAAATTTCTTGGGAAAAAGAAGTTATGAAAGTGGTGAAGAGGGTGATGAGAGACAGAGAGAGAGAGAAGTAAAGAGAAGTATTGTTGTTTGTAAGTTGTGGTTATCGTAAAGAGAGTGTTTGATGTCTATTATATAGTTAAATTATGTTTGATACAGTATTATAAAAAAAAGTAGGCATAGTGATTGTGCATTATTTAAGTTAGGTTGCCGATTTGGAAAATTCAAACCCCATCACTCGTATCCTCATTTCCTCTTCTCTTCCTTTAATAAACTTTTTTTTCGGGGTCAAACTCTTCCTTTAATAAACTAAACAAAGACTAGGACTTGCATTGCATGATAAACGTTGTGGTATCAATAGAATAAACACACACACAAATATAACATGAGTGTGGATAACATGTATGTTATAAAAGCCTTTTAGCAAAAACAAACAAAAAAACAAAACATGTATATATGTTATAAACTTATAAATACTCAATAAATTAACAAACTAAACAAAAGGCTAAAAAAGCACATAGATGATGAGTGTATTCATAGTAAAATTTAGTATGATTTGCATTAAAATCATAAACGGATAAACCTTCTATTATTAAAACACAAATTTTAAAATTTTGTTTAAAATTCAGTGTTATTTAACTAGTGATTTGAAAATGTATTTTTAAATTCACTGTTATTAGAAATAATTTAAATAATATAGTTTAAGATTGAAGTGATTTTAAAATGTTATGATAGAATTTCCTAGTTAAAAATATAAAAATCCAAATCTCATGATTTTATATAGAGTTTGATAAAATTTTGATATCAAATCTTAACACATAATTCAACCAAATCATCTAAAAACTCATTAAAACTCAAAATATTTTAAATGTTAATTTCAATACACCCCCTAGATATATTGTATGTTAAACGTAAAACCCAGTTATCAAACGAATCCCATTACACAATGTATAAAAAAGTTCTAAACTTGCCAACCAGTGGTCCAGATTTACTCAAATACTTTGTTACGTATATAAGTTATAACTATGCAAATAGTGTAATGACAAATCATACAATCGAAATTCTGAATATAAATTTATCCTATTAAAAAATTGTTATGAAATTAATTATTTGGAATCAGATAATCAATTATTGAATTTCATGAGTTTTTAAAATTTTGTCAAATGACAAAAGTCTTTTGAATTTGACACAAATACAGTAATTTTGGTTTTAAGACCCACTAATTGAATTTTGGCATATAAAGCATCAGTAACAATAGAGATGATACTAGCTTTTCTTAAAAAAATATTTTAATAATATAATTATTTTTTACAATTAAATTATAAACAGTTAAAAAGAATAAGCCACTCATTAATTGCTATGTGTATAGTGACGGTTTCCGAGGACTCCTATTTCAGAACCATAATGATGCTCTAAAGAAGCTTATTGCATTATGGCGGATCCAGCTTGAAAGAGGGTCATGTGCCCCATACAATTTTTTTTTGTTGAAAAATTGTTACCAAAAATTAACAAAAATGGTAGCTTATTGGTCATTTCTCTTGTTTAACAACTTGTGCCCCATACAAAATAATATTCTAGATCCGCCACTGCATAACCAGTTTTTCGGCGACAGTCTTTGGAAATCATGTCGGAGCTCTGGTGATAATGACGTTCCTTCAAAGTTCTCTTGATAGGATGGACTCATGATGGGGTTTATGCATGTGTTGTGCAGTAAAAATAAAAATTAATAAGTTTAAGGGAAAAACGGAAATTAATGTTAAAACGGAAAAGAAAATTATTTATTATAAGAAAAATAAAAATATTATTATCTTCGTAGAAAATACCTCTGAAATAAATTAGAGTTGTATATTACATTTACAACAAAAGGAATTGTACACGATTCATTTCAGGAAAATAAAAAAAAGGAAATTATACATTATTTATTATCTTTTGATAACATTTTATTCTCTTTTCCCTCTTTCAAACTTCCTTTGTAACTTTATATAATCTTTTTGTAAGAACCATTCTAATGGATTCTCCAAAAATATTTTGACAATAAAAAAGAAAAGAAAAAAGAATGCAATTAACAAACAAAGAGTTGCTTGTTTAAGCAACACATGTTAATTATGACGTGTACTTAATCTCCGGAACAACATATTGAATGTATTGTATGGCTTAATTATATTATCAGAGTTTCAAAAAAGGAAAAAAATAATAAAAATAGAAATGAGCAAAGTCAGTACAAATATAGTTGGGTAACTATCCACTACTTGTAAAATATACCATGAGGAATTGAATCAAAACTTACCGGATCGTGACAATCCATATAGTTACAATCCATATAGTGAGAATCCGCATAGTTACAATCCAGATAAGTGATAGAGGTCACCGTCTTCCTCCTTAATATTATATACAGTCGATATATATGGTGATTAGAGTGATATTCTATGCAATAACTACCTCATATGTAATTCATGAGAGGTGTATTATTCCAGCAGCGCGCTAATCGTTAGATATGATAGAATATTCATTTGAATCCAATGAAATTAGAATTCGAATTGTCTATTCAGTTATTGTCTATTCGCGAAAAAGTTAGATTAAATGTATTTAAAACATTTTACTATATACTTTAATTGTTATTCTAATTTTAATTAGCTTTCTTATGTTTTAGTTATTTTTGTATAAATGGGGTTGTATTATAGACCGTATTTTTATCTAACTCATCTTAAATTGTCAATGTTGCTTCTTTCGGATTCTCAATGTTACTCACTTGAGATCCCAAAATCAAAATCAGTTTACAACACACTTAATTTTGGAATTACCTAACCATAATCAGCAGCTGTAAGCGGACTCTTATCTGGACGTTTGATTGTAACAAATAATTCTGCACTTCTTTGACCAACCCACAATTAAAACTAATCTGTCATCAAAACCAAGCTTTGTCTATTACTTACCTGACTGAGATGAACAACAAGAAAGACGGCTTTCTTAGCAGCTGCAAGCTCCTAGAAAAAAGAGTAATTAAAGAACAAAAAAGAATTTCAACATCAACACATGTGCTTATATCTATTAACTCTTATGTTATATCGATTTATTATTACAATATATAGTTTTAGTATAGTCATTGTTGATATATTTTCGAATTTTATAGAAGTTACAACATATTCGTAAAAACACTAGAGAGACGAATATTTAAATAAAATTAACGATACTTTGTATATATAAATCAAAGCTATTTTTTTTCTTTGTGAACAACTGTAAGAAGAACAATTGCTATGTGCGAATATTATGCTAAACAAAAAATAAAAACCAAACATATATTTTTGGAATCTAACTAATTAAATTCACTGCAAATAATTATAAAGAAATCACCATTTTGAATATAAATTTATCCTATTAGAAAAACCGTCTTGAAATTAATTATTTGGAATCAGACAATCAATTATTGAGTTTCATAAGTTTCTTTTGTAAGTTTGTCAAATGACAAAAGTCTCTTGAATTGGCACAAATACAGTAATTTTGGTTTTAAGACCCACTAATTGGATTTTTGGTTAAACCGATTTTGTTGACTTTCCGGGTGAAATTAAAACCTTTCAGCTGAACGAGAAGGTTCGAAACTAACAAAATAAACCCTAAACCTCTCTGCACTTCTTCTCAGACGGCAGTCTCCACGACATCATCTTTTTTTTTCCTTGTTTCTTCTCTCGTCGTTCTCTTCTTCTGGGAATCGCAGGTATATCGCTGTCGTGTCTCTCTGTTTCGTCTGATTTATGAACTCTGTTCTTGTTTCCCCCCTGTTCAATTCTTCATATTGAGCTCGCGAATAGCTCAATGCGTATGTCTTCAGTTCGTGTTCGTGAATGATTGTGAACTTGCGTTTCTTTCCTCGATTCATGTGTGATTTAGCGAAGTTGCGTTTTTCCTGTTTTTTGGTTTTGTGTGTTTTGAGTTGATGATCGTTCTGTGACCAGCTCTGCTTACTGTATATGTTTGTTCAACTTTTAATTGCAGGTGATTTTCCGAAGTGGTGTACTAACAAATGGGTACTACGAAAGGTGACTTTTTTATGAATCAAAAAGATTTTTTTATAATCTTTATTAGAGTTTCGTGGATTTGAGATTGATAAATGGTTTATTCGGATGTAGATGGTACATCAATGGATCAAAAGAGCGATAAAAAGCGTGGAAAGAATAAGTTGAAATCTAAGAAAGCAGAAGCTGAGGAGCATGAGGAACAGCTCAAGAGGCTAAAAGAAACAGTGAGTCACATCTTGTGATTGTAATAATATGTTGGAAGCTTTTGAGTTTTTTTTTTGTTTGAACTTTAAAAGATGATTTCTTTCTGCAGCAAGCTGAGTTTTATGAGTATATGAAAGAGCGTGATGAAGGGCTTCTAAAGTTTGATGCTGCCGAATTTGAGGTGAGTCAGTAGATTTGAATATGTTAAGACTTTTGAATCTTGACGCTCGTTGTGTTCAAAGCTTTTATACATTTGGTTTAGGATGATGCTGATGATGCTGAAGCTGGTGCCGAGACTGACTTGGAAGACACCGAGAAGCAAGCTGTTGAGGAAACACCGAAGCTTGAAATCGCAAAGAAAGCAAACGAGCAGAAAACGATTACATTAGACATGTTCAAGTCATGGCGTAAATCAATCCGAGAAGACGCGAAGCTAGGTGCGGTGCGTTCTATGTTGAGGGCTTATAGAACCGCCTGCCACTATGGTGATGACTCAGGGGACGATCCCTCTGCAAAGCTCAGCGTTATGTCGAGCGCTGTGTTCAATAAGGTAATGGTGTTCGTCCTGACTGAGATGGACGAGATCCTTCGTAAGCTGTTACGGCTTCCTGAAACCGGAGGAATGAAAGATACGATAGTGGAGGTTACAAACACAAGGCCATGGAAGAACTATAACCACTTGGTCAAGTCGTATCTAGGGAACTCTCTTCATGTTCTGAACCAGATGACCGAGGCAGGAATGATATCTTTCACTCTCCGTCGCCTTAAGCACTCATCGGTGTTTCTCACCGCTTTTCCAAGCCTCTTAAGGAAATACATAAAGGTGTGTGTTGTGTTGGAGCAAAAATATCATTATGTTCTTCATGTTTCCTATTGATTTGGTCTCATTGCTTATTCTTCTGTTTAGGTCGCACTTCATTTCTGGGGAACCGGGAGTGCCCCCATCGCTGTTGTTTCGCTCTTGTTCCTGAGAGATTTGTGCATACGACTTGGAAACGACTGTGTTGATGACTGTTTCAAGGGAATGTACAAAGCCTATGTGTTGAATTGCCAGTTTGTGAACGTTGTGAAGCTGCAGCATATTTCGTTTCTTGGCAACGGTTTCATTGAGCTTCTCGGCACAGACATATCTGCTGCGTATCAGCATGCGTTTGTCTTCATAAGGCAACTAGCTATGATCCTGCGCGAAGCGCTAAACACAAGAACAAAGGTTTAGTTTATTTTTTTCAATTAATCTTTTAGAAATCTGAGCTCTTCTGTCAACATCTGCATAGTGTAAAACTTTGTTGTTTTTAACAGGAAGCATTTAGGAAAGTGTATCAGTGGAAGTTCATCCATTGCCTTGAGCTTTGGACAGGAGCTATTTGTGCCTACAGCTCTCAGTCTGAACTCAGACCAGTTGCTTATCCACTAGCCCAGATAATATCTGGTGTTGCAAGACTTGTTCCCACTGCTCGCTATGTTCCTCTTAGAATAAGATGTGTTAGTATGTTAAACCGCATCGCTGCTTCTACGGGGACTTTCATACCTGTCTCAATGCTTCTTATGGACATGTTAGACATGAAAGAGCTCAATAGACCTCCCACTGGTGGTGTAGGCAAAGGAGTCGATCTACGCACACTGCTCAAGGTAAGAAAAACAAAAACTTACTTGGTTCTGTTCTTTAAAGAAGTGACTAGAATGAAATGTAACCTTTCGAAATTCGTTTGATAGGTAAGTAAACCGGCGGTGAAGACGAGAGCGTTTCAGGAGGCGTGCGTTTATTCTGTAGTGGAGGAGCTTGTGGAGCATTTGTCTCAGTGGAGTTACTCTGCGGCGTTCTTTGAACTGTCGTTTATCCCGACCATAAGGCTGCGTAGCTTTTACAAGTCCACTAAAGCTGAGAGGTTTAGGAAAGAAATGAAGCAACTCATTAGCCAGGTACCTTTAAAAAGAACGAAATGGAGAAAAAGGCTTTTATATACGTAATGTATGTTTGTACTTGCAAGAGGAGAAGTTGACTTTATTGATGTGTTTTGATGACTGTAGATTGAAGCTAACACAGAGTTTGTCAACAAAAAGAGAGCTTCGAGTGGTTTTCAACCCAATGAGCCTGCTGCTGCATCATTCCTTGAGGTTTAGTTACTTGTTTCTCTTGAAATTTGGGTTCTGAAAATCATTGCAAAACATGTAAATGTTGGGTTCTGAATGTTTTCTTATACTATCTTCAGAGTGATAAGGAGGCAGGGACAAGCCCTCTATCGCAATATGCAAAGATTATCCGCCAAAGAGCTAAGCAAAGAAACGAATCGTTGGTGCAATCAGAGTGCGTTACTTTTGATTCACTTGCATTTTCTTTTCTTGACCTTTGCTTTATTTGACTTCTGATTATATAACCCGTCTGGTTTATTTTAGTGTCACTGTGGGAGAGAGCTCAGCTGTTTATGGGAAAAGCGCATCAATGAGTGACGAGGAAGAAGATGAGGCAGATACGAACGAAAAGGGTGCTGCAGCTTTCAGTTCTTCATGGTTACCTGGAAGTGACTCCAAGTATGTCTCTCTCTTCCTCCTGGTTAAAAAAATGCTCCTGGTTTCACACATCTGACTTTGATTAATTGTATATAATTGGCAGAGGAAAAGAGGTGGAAGAAGAGAAGAAGAAAAAGAAGAGGAAGAGGAAGAGTAGTGTATCATCAGAGAAGAAGCAAGATGAGGAAGGTGCAGGGGAAGATGACGTTGTGGAGGATTTTGTGTTGAGCTCTGATGAAGAAGAAGAGGATGATTTGTTTGATATAGGAGGAGACAAAGATGAGGAGGACGATGCAGCAGATGAAATTACAGAACCTGAGACGAAGACATCTACTAAGAAGACTAAGGGTACTTATAAGACATGGCATAAGGCTTACAAGAAGACAAAGAAGAAGAAGCCCCGAGTCGCTTAAGAGTCTTTTGTTTTTTTGTTTTTTATATTCTTCGATGTTCTATGAAATTACTTTTTTCGGATGTTCACAAAACAGCATTAAACAAAATTTTGGGAAAAAAAAAGAGAAGCTTAAAATCTCCAAACTCAATGATTGAAACTGGATTTTTTTGATTATCAGCATCAGCTTGTAACTTCGATATTGCTTCGGATGTTTAAGAACAAAAATTTGGGAACAGAGTTTAATGATTGAAACTGGAGTTTTTCATCGTCATCATGAGAAAGTTATTAGACAGAGAGTATTTTGATGAGCATTACGAAAATGCACCAATGTAGTATGAGAAGAAGGGTTCAAGATGAAAGTGAAATCAAATCGAACCGGGAGGAACAGACTCGACCGGTTTGTTGATTAACGCTGCAGACCAGCTTTGATGTAAGCTGCGTAAAGATCCCTGCATTTCAAAACCATACATTGTTTATTGTGCAACTTTCGAACAAGAGGAGTCAAAAAAGTGTGAAGTACTTTGGTGTTTTGGAGAAAAGAAACTTACATGGAATCCTTAATTGCGTCGATTGCAGCTTCAGCTGGGAGGAAACCTTCAACGTCGACTTTCTTGTTCTCATTCTTCTTGTCTACAAGTTTTGTGTTAAGTGAAAACTGAAAATCGAAGGATAAACCAAAACAAAACAAATATGTTTCGTAGTGAAAAAAAAAATGCAATATGGGGTCTATTTTGTGGATACAGTCCTCGAAGAAGCGGCGGATTTCAGCTAGACGGTGAGGAGGAAGCTCTTTGATGTCTCTGTAGTGACGGAACTCGGGATCATCAGCACATACTGCAATGATCTTGTCGTCTTTTTCACCCTGCAAGTCACATTTCAAGGTTTCTTACTAAGCTACCACATAAGACAATGATATAGAAAATTGATTTCAAGGGTTGTTACCTGATCAATCATGGGCATTAAACCAATAGCACGAGCACGGAGGAAAGATCCAGTTAGCACAGGCTCCTGCGCAATTATTTATCAACCATCTCAAGTTAGTTATTTCACCGTCTGTTTAAGTCAAGTTTGCATGAACATGACGCTAAGAAGTAAGAAGAGGCGAGAGTAATCACCTGCATCAGTACCAGGACATCTATTGGATCACTGTCTTCACAAATGGTTCGAGGAATGAAACCGTAGTTGTGGGGGTACACAATGGATGAGTAGAGAACACGATCAACCTAGAGAGGGAAAAACATTCAGCGATCAGATTTACTTCTTCTTTTCAAATCTTATGATGAAGCATCTTTTAGTTCAAATGCATAAACTGTGACTTCTGATACAATCAGCGAAGGAAGACTTGTGCATATGTGATGTATATAACCACAGAACTAGACAAGATTAAGAGGGTTCACAAAGCAAATGCATACTAACCTTAATAAGGCCACTGTTCTTGTCTAGCTCGTACTTGACCTTGCCACCTTTGCTAATTTCAACAACCTGATATGTAATATCTCAAATTCGTCAAACTCTCGAAATGATCTAATCTTCCGCAACGCAAAAGGTGATAAGGCTTACGCAGTTGAAAACAGCAGGAGCGTCCGGACCTGTAAAATTCAATAACAGACACTATTCATAAGAGAATGATCTCATCCCAAGCAAAACTCTCAATGAATAGAATCACATAACTATTTCAAGTAAATATGACAAGAATATATATCACACGATAAGCATACCAATCTCCAAGTCATGCCAAGGATGAGCAGCAGCAGATCTGTGGGTGAAGGCAGCAAAATTCCTCTCGTTAAGGGTAACATTAGGGTTCCTGAGAGGGGAAGCATAGCACTTGGTAATTCCTTCATCTTTGTTATCAGCCATCTTGAATGTCCACTGTAACGTGAAACAAAGAACCATAAGCACTAGGAGAGTCTTTCAAGCATACTTAACTCAAAACAAGCCATGAAATATATTTTCACTACTGAACAATTTGTGCAATAACCAATAGATAAAACAGCAAATTCTTCTACGTTCCAACAGGACTAATCTTCTAAACCATAATCTTGAAACAAAACCAACAGCGTTAGAGGTAGAATCATTCAAGTATACTAATCTCAAAACAAGCCATGAAACATATCCTCACTACTGAACAATCTGTGCAATAACCAAAGGATAAAGCAAATCCTTCTACGTGCCAACAGGATCCAATCTTCTAAACCATAAACTTGAAACAAAACCAAAAGCGCAAAACAAGCCATATAAAGTTTTCTCACTACTGAACAATTTGTACAATAATCAGAGGGAAAAGCAACGAATCCTTCTACGTTCAAATTCCACATCGCGTTTCAAATCTCTAGAATATAATTTCTTCGAATACCAAAATCTGGTTCAAATTCCACATCCCCTTACAAATTCGACCAGAGAAATGAAGCACACATACGAATCTACGATATTCACTGTTCTAATGCAGCTCCGTTTCATGTTAGGGAACAATCTTACAAACTGAGATTCTGAAAGTAATGGAGATACCGAACAAACGTAGATCCATCCTCGATTTCGTTTAATTACTAGTCAAAACACTCAAAATCACCACTGTACTAGCTATCTATCAATCGGCAAAAACTGAACAAAACCGAAAATCTGATAGCAGTAATCCAAAAAACCAAGTTTACAGATAGCGTTTCTAAGTAAATCGACGGATTGATCATCATATGCGCACAAACAACAATCCAAGTTCTCAAAACGAAACGAAACCGACGGGAAAACGCGAAATCAACGAAACCGCTCCGATTCAACAAGTAGAAATCAAAATCAAGCACCAAAAACAGAAGAAGATAAACAGAAATTGACCAATCGGCAGATTTCGAATGAAAAAGAAACGAGAAAAGATGATCTTACAAATGAAATTTCAAGCTTCAATCGCGCAGCCCGAAGAAGAGATTCCGTAACGTTTTTTAATTCTTTCTTCAGTTATTTTTTTGTTTGTGCCGCTTACTTATATATATGTAGAGCAGTTACACAGTACTGTGTATTCGTGTGAGTGTGGTGCTTATGGCGCTTCTTTATGGACGTTGGAGGAAGGAGACGCTGACGTCACCAATTCCTTGGTTGTTGTTCATCGTCAATCGTACGACGAATCTGGTTCGTTGAATTTGAAAGGGAAAGGATCTGACGGTCGTGGTTTTTATTCAAACTTTATAGATGTTTTTCTAAAATAGTCCTTTATGTGTGTACCTTTTAATCGAACGAAAAGAAAAAGGACTACATTGGTGTTGCCAAAAAGCATCCGGCTAGCAAATCGATAAATGACGCGTGTCCTGAGAATTAGGCTCTTTCCTTCCGTTCTTTTAATTCCTTTTTTTTTTTTGCAACAATTCAGTATTTTAAGAAAATTTATCACCAGCAAAAACTTTAGAAATTGTATTCTTTTTTTAATTGCCAAGTAATCAATTAGAATCTATTTAGGTTAATAATTAAGACATAGGTTATAGGTTTGACTCATAAATCATAATGTTCACTAATTACATTTTCAAAGTAATACCTTAAAACCCAAAAAGGAGCTGCAAGGGAGATTTAACATCAAATTAAAGAACCCAAATGGCTTCGGTAATATAGGTAAACTAGATAAAAACCCGCTTGTACGGGATAAAATAATAATTATTTATTTAATATAGTATAATTTTAAAATCATATAACAAAATACAATTGATTTTATATAAGTTGTTTATAACATTAAGCTGTAATATTGACAAAATAATTTTTTGTTTATTTTATAAATTTTAGGGTAATTTAATTCTAATATAAAATAGTTTAAAAATTACATATATATGCACAATCTGGATAGAAATACAAAATCACTCTTTATACTTTCTATAACTCATAATTAATAACATAATCTTAAAATTCCAAAAAATAGAGAGAGTATATTTTGATTAAATTATTAAGTATCTAATGTGTTATGATAATAATAAAATTTTTTACTACTTCATGTGTTTCATAATATTAGTTTTTTTAAATATTTTGTTTTGTTTCATAATATAGTTGTTTTCATATTTTTTACTACTTTCTATGAATACTATGTGACTGATTATATTTTTCAGTTTTTCATAATTAGTTAAATTATATTTAATTTATATACTAAATGATTAATTTTTTTTTAAAGAAAAGTTGCTTTTTAATCTTTGTGATTTGATGCAAAACAACTTATAATTTTAAATAGAGAGTATTAAAATTGTAAAAATAAAAATTGATTATAAGATTTTATAATCGATTTTAATATTTTTTATACGAATGTAATTGCATATTTAGATTAACCCGCAAAAACTATAGTCATAAGAATATTAGCTTTTAAGGAAAGAAAATTACTGTGAAATTTATTTTAAATACTAAATATACATAAAAATTATATTTTATTATTTTTAATAAATTATCTAAAATTATATATAACTGAGTCAATACTTATGCATTCTTAACTTTTTGATTCAATAAAAATATTTTCAATATCAAAAAATTTAATAAAATTATTATGTAATATCCTTACAAAAATATTTTAATATTTACCAAGTTATTTTGTTGTATAAATTAAAAATAATAATATCTATTGAATTAAGCTTTCTGTTTTTTTTTTTATCATTTATGTATTTTTATATTGATTTATGAATCATCTATCTACACATCTTTATTTTCAATTTTAGTTTTTTAAAACATACTTTTATTTATTAATCATTTGAGTAATTTTTTTTAGTGAAATTCGAATTATAACACAGAAAATATATATTTTACTATATGAATGATGTGATGATTTATTTTTCTATAAAAATAAGAGACAAAATATAATATTTAAAAAGATAATTAATATGATATATTTTTGATAAGAAATTAAAAAAGAGAATATCTTGATGAATCATCATCAATATAATTGATATAAACTAATGTATAACTAAATTAATGTGAGTGGCATAACATGTAATTAATCTAGTAACATAAGTCTATTTTTATAACTTTGCTGAAAATGATTCTGGTGATGATACATCAGCAAAATAGTATCACTGTAATATTTTACAAAATTAAGGTTAATTTTTAAAAATGCTTTTCTTTTAATATATAGGAAATTAGAAAAATCTCATTTAATATCTAATTTTTTAATAATAACATCTTCAAAGTAATTCACTTATGAAACGGCAAACAAACTTTCTGTTCATCTCTTGTGAAAATGATTGAATTCTCACAGCACACCAAATCAAGAAGGCTCATGCAAAAGATGCTTCTAAACATTATCTCATTGATATAAATGCAAAAAGTCATTTGATAATAATTTTTGAATAGATTTATAAGAACAGTTTAGTTTTTTTAACATCAAGTGTAAAAAACCAAAAAGAGTAATAAAAATGTTAGGCACAAAAAACTTTTGCAAGACTTTAATTACCAAATTTAAATCTCTCTTATGTCTATGCATGTGCAGAAACCAGATAAAGGTTGATGATCTCTATGCTCTACAGCTCTAGTAGCAACGAAACTACCTCTTTTGGTATTTTTCTTCTTTCATAAGCATCTTTTTTTTAATATGCAGATGGTGGAAAAAATGATAATAATTGAATTGTGGCTGCCTAACCACAATTGTGTCTTATTGTGTGAGCAGTGTTTTCTTGGTGATCGTCAAATAGAAGTCTAGAATCGAAGGTACGGTTTAAAAAGTAAAGTTAATATTCGGAAGAGTAAGAATATTGGGTTTTGGATTGTTCAATATCTTTTTCTTCTTCAAGATCTTGTGTAGAAATATAATTAGGAATAAAATCAATGTCCAACCAATTATTAGACGCATAAACCATCATAACTGATCAACATTTTTTTTAATTTTCTCGAGTGTTTTCGTTTCTTAAGTAAAATAATTTAATTAGTATGGTTGAAGAAAAAATGTTGAAAGATTAGTTTTTCGTCCCACCGCTTTGCCGAATGTAAAGTGGGCTTAAGAAATCTTACGAAGCCCAACATACTAAACAATAATATAAAAGCCTTTTCTTCCTCCGACAACTTCTTAAACCGCGGACACGTGTCGGATCATTCTCCACGTCATTCAGTTTTTCGTCTTCTTAACAAGAACCGAAGCAAACGACTTTAAATCATCTCTCTCTCTCGTCACTGTTCCTTCCGTCAAAACGGAACTGTGAAATATTCAATTTGATTGAAATTTTCAATTGTTTCGTTTAAAGATCATCGTACTTTGATTCGAATCTCTTTACGAATTGCATTTTTTGTTTCCTTTTTTTTCTCTCTTCGATTTTGATCAGTGATCGTGTTAGGGTTTAGCCGTTTCCGTTTTGATCCCAAATCCATGGAGGACGAGCCAGGAAGTGAAGGAGACGGAGATACCATGATCGATTCACCACTCGCGAGATGGAGAATCGAATTCTCCAAGTCATTTCAGAACCACCTAGACAGATCGGCGCCTCACCTTGTTCGGAGATGGCTGGTGACATTACTCGCCGCCGTGATCTACATCTACAGGGTTTACTACGCGTATGGATTCTTCGTCGTCTCCTATGGCCTCGCTACTTACATCTTAAACCTCTTGATCGGTTTCCTCTCTCCCAAAGTCGACCCTGAGGTCGAAGCTTTAGACGCTGCCTCTGTGTCCAGTGAAGATTCCGATGAGTTCAAGCCCTTTGTTCGTCGTCTTCCCGAGTTTAAGTTCTGGTAAAGCAATTTCTCTTTTAAAAAAAAAAAAAAAGTTTAGAGAACAGATTCGATTTGATTGATCTGATTTTAGGTTTTTGACTTTGTCATGATTTAGGTATGCAGCGACGAAGGCTTTTGTTGTTGCATTCGTCATGACGTTCTTCTCCTTCTTGGACGTGCCTGTGTTCTGGCCCATCTTGTTGTGCTACTGGTTGTTTCTGTATTTCCTCACTATGAAACGGCAGATCGTGCACATGATCAAGTACCGATACGTTCCTTTCGATTTTAGAAAGAAGGTAAAGCCAACGTCAAGGTTCTTGTTTGAGTTTGGACTGAATCTTTGCTTAAGAAGTAAGAGTTCTTGAAGATAGACTGGTGATGATCAATCTTTTTTTTTTTTGACAGAGACACGTTGGGAAGGATAAGGCTAGTAGCAGCAATTCATCTCAGGGAGATGAAAAAACGGCTTAGGCTTGAATCATATCAGTTCTTGAAAAGCTTAACAGAGCTGGGGAAACTCTCTTCTATAGCAGAAGCAGCAGAAGCTAGAACAACACTGTATAGACTCTATAGAGTGTACTTGCTTTGATACATTATGGGTTTTTTGTAACCTTTGTCACGAAATCTGTAAGAGTGCTTGTGGTTTTGTTCAGTGGGTAAACGTCAGATCTCTTGACCAATTCAGGAATTTATGCAAGAGAAAAGATAGTATATAGTATTAACCAAAATGTTAAATGTTTATTCTGGCTTTGAAGATCATCATTCAACCTTTAAAGTTTATTCTGAATATAACTTTAGACCACACTCGACCAGATCTAAATTCTTGTCATTCACTAAACATCGTCGATTTCGCCGACGTTCGAGAATCGTGAGTTTACAAATCTCTTTTTCGCCAACTTTAGAGGGAGAACTATGGATATGTTTAAATGTCCACTTACAAAACCAGTAAATATACAAGAATTGGCCTCTCCGAAGGCCCACAAGCCCAAATGAGTATAGTTTTGTTGTGTGTGCTTTTGTCCCACATCGGTTAGGATGAAACTAAGTCGAAGGTTTATATATCGCAGGAGTCGAAGAAGCGATTGTCCCTTCGGGGACATCCGATAAAATTGGAACGATACCATGGCCCCTGCGCAAGGATGACACGCACAAATCGAGAAATGGTCCAAATTTTTTTTCTAACATTTTTTTTGCAGATTTATTTCTTTGTTCTTCCCGATTTTGTGTATTGAAAATCCATTCGTCGTCTATGGATAATCTCATCATTCACAGCTTCTCATCATCGATTTGGAATTATTTGATTTCCAGGTCATCTTCCGTCGGAGAATCGTGAGCTTCCTTTTCTGTTAGGCTGTAGCTGCTACTCGACGATCCTTTTTTTTTTTGTTTAAATCTCGTTTTCTAAATCGCTGCCATGGAAGCAACTGCAAGAATCTTCAGTACTTGTGCTTTCAATCGTCGTCTCCTTCTCACCAATATAAGTCTAATTCCAGATTCCCGTTCGCTCAGATACACAAATCAGCTTTGTGTTCCCGTTTCCAGGGAACACTCTATCTCCGCCGCTCGTATACGGTGCTCTTCGCTTCCCCCGGATTCGAATCTCTTCAAATCCTTCCTCTCGCTAACCTCAAGCTTCCGTCTCGAGAACTCCGCCGTTCACGCTAACCCAATCCGACCCGAGCCTAACGACGGCGTCTCCGTCTGGAACAGAGCTTCTCGGGGCGTGAACGGAGGAGGAAACGCGATGGCGTACGGCGGGAAAGGGAAGGAGACGACAGTGGTTCTCCTCGGTTGGTTAGGGGCGAAAGCGAAACACCTGAGGAGATACGTCGAGTGGTACAACTCCAGGGGAATCAACGCCGTCACTTTCACCGTCGACGTAAGGGATTTGCTCCGGCTAGATCTCGGCCGTCGTCTTGAACGACGGATAGCTGAATTCGGGAACGAGTTGGTCAATTGGGTGTCGGAGAAAGAGGACGGTAGAGAAAAATGCTTGGTCTTCCACAGTTTCAGCAACACTGGTTGGCTTGTGTAGGTTAATGAAGCAAAAGCCTTCCTCTTCTTCTACTGATTATGATGAGTTTTAAGCGACTCTGCTTCTCATTAGAGATTTCCTTTTGGCAGCTATGGTGCCTTGCTCGAGAGCTTTGTGGGCAGACAAGAGTTAGTAGAAAAGATCAAGGGTTGTATCATCGACTCAGGAGGAGCAGATCCTCTAGATACCAAGGTTTGTTTCTCTCTTTCATGAAACCAAGACTCTTAAGAACGTGCTTTTGAAGTATTCTCTAGTGCTTCATTGCCTTATATTGGAACTTGCAAGTAGAAAAGGCCAATACTTTTGTAGGTTTTTTTGTGCTTTCCAGAGAATCTGATACTTCTTTTTAGATTATGTCATTATGATGATTCTTGAAAGTTGCAATTGTGAAAGCTTTCTACTGTTGAACGATTCTGGATCGATGCAGGCATCTAGCGAAGAGTGACCATGGGACTTTTGGCTTTGATAGTTAAGCAATCAGCTTTGTAAATAGATAACTTAGTACCTAGATAATTCATGTTGACTTCATCGTTATTTAGCCATCGTTCACAGGTTGATGGTACAGTGGTCTAAGTATCTTGCAAATGCGATCTTGTTCTCATGCGAAAATTTAGATTTCTTAGGCAAGTGAACGAGGAAGATATGAGACTTCATAGAACAGATCATCTCATGGCTCTAAATTTCCTTAGTTTGAAACTTGTTTCGTGTACATAATCATCACGTAGTCCTGATACACATCTTAATCATTCAACTCATTATTCTCTCGCAGATTTGGGCAGCTGGGTTTACTGCTGCCATATTGAAGAAGCGTAGCTCCACCGTAAACACAGAACCAAACACCCACGTAAATGAAGACGACGCTTCAAACCCACAAAAGAAGGAACCTCTAGGACTCGAAACCATGATGCTATCATCTCTAGAGAAAATCTTCCCGATCATCTTAAACATCCCGGACGTTAACAAGTAAGCTTCACACTGTACAACACACGCATCAGCTTTTCTTGTTTGTGTGTTCGTTTCCATACTCATGTATCATAATCCACCAGTTGATTAGTCTGAAGGTTTTATCTGTTTCTGTTATCAGGAGGCTAACGAAAGTCATCCAGAAACTCAATGAGAACCATCCTCCATGTCCGCAGCTCTATCTTTACAGCTCCGGTGACAAAGTTGTCCCGTCTCACTCCGTAGAGCTACGGATCAAAGAACAACAGAAGATGGGACGAAACATACATTCTTTCAATTTCGGGTCGTCTCCTCACGTCGATCACTACCGGAACTTCCCTGACGTGTACTCCTCACAGCTTCAAAACTTCTTGCAAGAGTGCTTCACGCCTACAAAACAGCAAGTGATGTGACAGAGAATATACAAGTTTTTTTTTTTTGGCAGAGAATCTTTGTAGCCTGTTTACTTTTTTGATTCTGAATGATGTTTCAAGATTCTTATGACCAGGTTATTATCAAATAGAGATCCTCTTCTAATGGTAGAATCTTTGTTTTACAATTCGTATGGATGAAAATGAAAAGGTAAGTGATTTAGTGTTCCATAGCAAATATGACAAGAGTGACAAGAGTGGTTTAGAAACTTTCAGAAAAAATTAACAGCACTCAATGCTGCCATGAGAGCAGCTCTCAAACGACACCGTTTACGTTCTTTGCTTTAAACGACGACGTCTTTGATCTTTCGTTGACTTGACGTCGTTTGTTTCTTCTGCATCCCCAGAATCAGAAAATCGTTTCTCGGTGTTGCTCGGAGCTGCCGTCTCCGAAGAAAGTGAAGCCTCTTTTGCTTCTCTTTTTTTGATTGCTGCTTTGCGATTTCCGTCGATCTTCACAAAAGAGTGAAGACTTAGACATTAATCTCAATGTATCCATAGAATTAGAAATCACACAGAGAGAGGGAGAGAGAGAGAGGGAAACGATCAGTGAGTTCAGTGGAAGCGAAAAGGTGAAATCAGAAACTGGAAAACTTCGTACTCCGATCTTCGAAAATGGCAGCTGTGGAAGATTCAAAAACGACTCCGTCGAAGTCGTTCGGTGCTGTCGTTCTCGGCGGTACGTTTGATCGATTGCACGATGGACATCGAACTTTCCTCAGGGTAATTTGTGTTTCTCCTCGATTTCTACTTGCGTTGTTTTTTTTTTTTTTTTTTTGGAAATCGAAGTAATGATCAAATTTTGTGGTGGCGATGGAAAATAATCAGGCGGCGGCGGAGCTAGCCAGGGACCGATTAGTGGTAGGAGTATGTGATGGCTCGATGTTGACGAACAAGCAAGTAAGTAAATTTCTTCTCGATTTCCCCCCTTTTTGCCTTAGATTAGTTAGCATTTACAACGTTTGTTGGTACCAAATCATTCCAAGACTTATGTGAGATTGAAGCCTTATATAGCTAAGTTCAGTGGCCTTGATTGTTTTCGAGTTGTTAACTTTAGTTGAAACGATATCCTTCTGATACAATTGAAGAACCATGGAACATCTCTGTATTGAATTTTTCTGTGTTCACTATGTGTTGATGAGCTCTTTCAGCTTGAAAGTCTTCAGTCTCTTGTGCGTAAAGTTTTGATTTGAAGCATTAAAGAGTTTGATTTGAGCAAATAATTTCCAGAACGAGAAATTTGGCAAATTTTGTTCCATACAACGTATGTGAGATTCAAGTCTAAGTTACAGTGGCCTTAGAGTTCTTATCATGAGTTGCAAAGATAATATATTTTTGGTCTTAAGGCAAAAGAAGACTCTTTGATCGTCTATGTACTGCAATTTTTCTGTGAATTTTAAGCTGAAAACTGTTACCCTCGTTTCACTCTGTTGTGTGTACAGTTATCTGAAATGATACAACCCATTCAAGAAAGGATGCGTAACGTGGAGAACTATGTCAAGGTAATTACAGCAGAGTGTAAGATTTTCTCATCATTTTTACTGAATGAGTGTCAAAAGGATGAGTTAAGAGATTTTATCCATGTTCTTGTGTTAGTCTATCAAACCCGAGCTGGTTGTTCAAGTCGAACCCATTACTGATCCGTATGGTCCTTCAATTGTCGATGAAGCTTTGGAAGCTATTGTCGTCAGGTTTCAACTTTCAGTCTGTATAATCTCTATTTTCACATGTTCCCTCTATTCACATCCATGCTTCAAGAAGCTTTAACTGTAATCATAATCTGCAGCAAAGAGACCTTACCTGGTGGCTTGTCGGTTAACAGAAAAAGAGCAGAAAGAGGGCTTTCTCAACTCAAGGTTCGTCTTTTTCTTTTACCCACCTCCTGATGCATTTTAATCATCAAACCCATATTTGTTTAATGGACCATTCTTTCTTGGACATATGCTTGTGCAGATCGAGGTAGTGGAGATAGTTTCCGATGGATCTAGTGGAGACAAGATAAGTTCGAGTACTCTGAGGAAGTTGGAGGCGGAGAAAGCCGAGAAACAGAAACAACCCGAAGAAGAAGAAGAAGCACCATGAACTCGGGACAAGAACTAGTCATCATGTAATATATCAAGTTTGTTTGTAACGTAAAACGTTGGTATTTTCATAGAATGTTCAAAATCAGTCCTTCGCCTCTGCCTGAAACAATAAGGTGAAGTCCTTGCATTCCGTTAGCAGAGAGTGAGAGACGGTGTCGTTTGTGTGTTATGTCATTGCGAGTTCTAAAACGACGACGTTTTCGGTAAGGAATCAACCATGAGGTGAAGGTGTATTTTTACTATTTTGCATTCCTTTATCAGAAACGGTGTCGTTGTGTGTGAGTCACAAAACGACGACGCATTTTGACCAGGAGAGGCCTAATCGGAACGGAAACGTTTTCAAAGCAACGGCTATTTACTGTGATTAAAAGGAATTTTGAAAATTATTTGTGAAACTGAAAAATCGGATTCTTGTAGATCTTCTTTATAACTTCCCCATTCTCTTTGAAAACTTGAATAATTCATTTTTTCTGATCGTTGAGAAATCGCAGAGAGAAAGAGAAAAGAGGAGAGAGAAAGAAAGAAGCGAAGTTGAGAGAGGAGCCTTTCCTTGTGAAGCAAGCATTTTTCGTTTGGGTAATTACATCTTCTTTCTTTCTCGTAAATCTCAGAGTTTCTTTTAGTTTCCGCCATTGTTGAAGTCTCTTTCGTCTCTCTTTTTGCAGTTCTTCTTCCCGGAGAACACAGAAACGAAGAAGATCCTTCTCTGATTTTTACAAATCCGTACACTGTAATTACATCTCTTCTCTCAAATTAAAATCAGTCTCTGTTTCACGAATCTCAGTTTTTTTTTTCCCCCAAAATCTCTGTTTCTAGGGTTTCTGCGAAATTTTCACTCTCTTGACTCTGCAAAAGATGAATGACCTGATGACGAAATCGTTCTTAAGTTATGTGGAACTGAAGAAACAAGCGAAGGGCGATTCGGAATCGGAGCGCGACGTCGAGAAAGGCGGCGGATTCGATTTCAGCCCGGCGGATGAAGAACACCTCTCCGGTTTCTTCCAAGAGATCGAATCGATCAAATCCCAGATCGAAGAGATCACTAATCTCCTGCTCGATCTCCAGAACCTAAACGAAGAGACCAAATCCACCCACAGCAACAAAATCCTCCGCGGGTTGAGAGACAGGATGGAGTCGAACATCGTCGCCATCTCCCGCAAGGCCAACGCCGTCAAAACCCTAATCGAGTCCCTCGAGAAGAGCAACGCCGCGAACCGGGAGAGTTTCAAGGAAGGATCTTGCGTGGACAGGACACGTGTCTCGCTGACGAACGGGGTCAGGGCGAAACTTAGAGAGACGATGAGCGAGTTTCACCGGTTGAGGGAGAGGATCTTCGCCGATTACAGAGAAGACCTCAAAAGGAAGTACTTTTTGGCGACCGGCGAAGAGCCGAGCAACGAGGACATGGAGAAGATGATATCTGGAGGAGAATCCGGTTTTGTGAAGACGTTTGAAGTGAGACCGGAGATGGATTTGAAGACGAAAGAGAGACACGAAGCTGTGAATGACATCAAGAGGAGTCTTAACAGGCTTCATCAAGTGTTTCTCGACATGGCTGTTCTCGTTGAGACGCAAGGGGATAGGATCGATGACATTGAAGCTAATGTGGCTAACGCAGGGAGCTTCGTGAGCGGTGGAACCAACAGTTTGTTCTACGCGAACCAGATGAAGAAGAAGAACAAGAGATGGGCTGTTTGGATTTCGATCTTGGGTGTCATCATTCTTCTTGTGTGTTTGATCTCCATGATTGCTTCTCGTTGAGTGCTTGGGAGGAAGATTTGCTGCTTATGTTGTTCTTCTTCTTTTGATTAGTCTCGATCGAAACTTGGTAGATTTTTTACAAGTGTGTTGCAGTGTTATGGTTCTACGAATCGATTAGATACTTTCAATGATTGTGTATCAGGAATTATCAGGTTTTGTTTGATGAATCTATCGACTTTTATGAAAATGTCATATACCCCAAAGTTTGCCTTAAATGAAGACATATGATTTAATCAATTGACGAATAACCTCTTTATTTGGTTCATAAATACATACATATATAATTCAACAAGAGTCGAACAAAATTTGGTGAAATTGACAAAGAAGCAAATGAAAATGATAGTTAACAAAGTCCATTATTGGAATTTTCGGGGTTTTGTTTAATGAATTTTATACCCACATAACTCTTTTTTATAGAGGCTATTATTATTGGGATATTAATCCAAGTCCCACATCGGAAGATTAGATAATAATGGTCTAATATATAAGTAATGTCCAACTCTGATCAGTATGAGGCCTTTTGGGAAGAACCCAAAAACAAATCTATGAGGACTTAGTCACTTGGACCCAAAGCGGATAATATTATACTGATAAGAAAGTTGGACATGGATTTGAAAAGCCTAACAATTATGTGTACGTATTTATGAACCAAATAAAGAAAATGTAGTAATGCTCAAGAAGATGGACCAATTAAAGAAAATACTGTATAGTAATACCAAACTTGGGTTAAGAGAAACAATTACACGATCTGATGTTATGATATTTGTTCTGTTCGACTTGTGGATATATGAGAGATTATAAATAATCTATATACAAAAGTTTATTATTAATAAGCTACTAGAGATTCAATAAGAATCAAACAAAAGTTGGTAAAATTGACAATTATGTGATACAAACAATCAAAACCAAACAAGCAAATGATAATGTAATGAACAAAGTATTAGACCTGGTTTTTAGAAAATCTAAACTCAAATGGTTAGTTAAACTGATTTTTAAGTTGATATTTTTTTACAAAAAAAATGGATCATTTTAAAGTAACTTGTCTACTGTGGATTATCAGTTGATCTAGATTAGATGTTTTGCCGATTAATTGCTATTTCAGTCATTACGTTTTTGCATCTACTACCATTTTAGTCAGCAAAAAATATAATGGTCAATAAACCAAGGTTAATCAGTAAACTGTATATCCTGATTTTACTGACTACTCAATCTGACTAGCCTGTATTTATTCAAATTGGCTGTACAATGGGTAAAGGTTTTTTTAATTGACTATTAGATTTTAAGAACATTGAATTTTTTAAAAAAAAGTGAGGGGTTCATTGCAAGAAAATTGACAATTGTAAGCTGGCAAAAACATATGGTTCACAATCTTATCAAAATTTTGTCAATCCCAATGGACAAACACACGGAATTGGAATCAATACCCATCATGCTTTTCTTCTTTTTATTATGGACCCATTCACATAACTTACATATGCATATGTGCATTACATACTATTATCTACCTTTCTCTCTTGGTGTACAAATACATTTATATGAGTATATATATATATGTGATACAATTGTGGTCCACAACTCCACATACCAAACATGACCACTCCTAAGTTTTAATCAGTTCTCTTGATTGTAAATTGCAATGATTCATTTCGTTAGCTTTAATAATGAAATGATTCTCATCCTATTCTCATCCTACTATTGTAGAGGTTTTTTTTATAGAACGAGATTTTAATTCCAAAGTTTGATCTAATCATTTAAACCATGGATTTTTATTTTATCTTTTTGCACAAAATAAACTCTACATTCTTCTACTCAGATTTAATAACCAAATATATTTCTTAATAAAAAAAGTTTATAGACTTTCTCTAAGAGATAAAAAAACACGAAAAATTTCAAAAAAATTAAATTAAATTTTTGAATCATATAAAATTTTAACCAATAAATTAGACTTTTTTTTACGGATAATATGAAATTCAACAGCATCAATCTTATTTTTTTTTATTGAAAGAAATGTGATCTTTTCGTTTTAGTTTGTTTACGTTAATGTAATTCTATTACTAATTTAACAATATTTTCGTTTTTATTATTTTGTATTTATCTGTGAAGATAAAAATATATTTTTTTTAATTATAATTTTTACCTTTGGTGCAAGAACTTATTGTATAAAGTCCATAAAGCAACATAGTTCAAATATGATGGAGTACACAATAAATATGGTGTTAAAATGGGCGGTTTTGAACTTTTCATATAAAAAAAATTAAAATTTTACTGTGTAAATTATTAATACATATACGTATGTGATGTGTATGTTATTTTAAAATATTTCTTATTATCAGATAAAGTCAAACAAAAACATGAAAAAAAAGAAGTACTGAGGAAATGCAATTTGGATGAAATATATAATACATTGGAAAGATCTGTGCAAATGTCTATTATTATACTTAGCACGATAATTAATGAAAAATATTTTTTTATAGATATGGATTAGATAAAAGCCTTCCTCCAATGAAATTTTATTTTTGCCTATAAACTATGTTTTACAGTAAAACCATCTGCAAAATTATAATGTAAAGTTTTGAAATATAATGATTAGTCAACTAAAATCAGTTATATAAACTAAAATGACAAAATATGAAATATTATACCACGTACATATTGTTTTTGTTCAATATAACATCGCTGTTAATATTTTGTTTGACATAGAAAACAATATTAAGTTTTGTAAAGTTGTCTTGAATTCTATATATGCTAAATATAACAATAACATAACTTACCCGACCAAATATGTTATTGCCACATGCAGTAAGTCATTCTCAATTAAAGTCAGGTCGTTCCATAGAGGCAATTAATTAAAAAAGAAAACTAGATTTAATTTTTTTCCCCACCAAAAAAACTATAATCTATTTTTCTAATATAAAAAAATCAACATTTCACTAATAAATCTCTCTCTCTCTGCCTTTAACGTTTTCTTTGAAAACTATAAGAAAAAGCAGAGACTTCGGATCCTTTTTTTTTTGTTGTAAGAAGAAAGAGGTTCGTTGGTGGACCACTCCTTTTGCCTTGGCGAGATCGGCGGAGGAGCTATACGACGGCGAGAAAGCCGGTGAAATCATGCAAAGGTAGTCACCGGCGAATCCCTCTTTCTTCCCGGAGACGACGAGCGTCGGAAGAATCCGATAGGAATCAGCGATGATTGTCTCTGTTTCTTCGTTTTCTCTCTCCGATCTGGTCTCTCGGATCCGGTGAAGAAGAAGCTCCCCGCCGATCGAATCTTGCAGCTCGTTCTTTGGCCAAAGAGATTTCTAGTTTTCTTTTTTTGTCTTTTGATCCGTCGATTTCATCGAGGTTGGTTTTTGAATCTTCTACTTTTTAATGTTTCCCCTCATTTTCGTTTCACATTTAAAGAACAAAAGTTCGTCTTTGCGTTCTTCCTCTGTTCCTGGATCTGTTGCGTTTTTTTTTGTTGTTGTCGGAATTAAAGATTTGGTACGATTGGTTTTGAGTAATTGTAACGGATAATAAGTTCGAGTAATGTAAATCTGTGATTTTTGGAATGATGGCTCTCACAAACCTGAGAAGAACAGTAGTTTCATAAAGATTTTGTTCTTTGGGGATGAAAATTTTGCAGCTTTTTTTGTCTGTGAAAGTGTTGAGCTTCATTTTATTACAAAAAGACATTGAACTTTTTAAGTGGATTCTGATTTGCAGTTCTTGGGGGAGTAGTTTTTGGTGATGCTGAATAAGAGATGTCCTTGAAAAGCATCCTTCGTGATCTGAAGGAAGTGAGGGATGGACTTGGAGGGATCTCAAAGCGAAGCTGGTCAAAGTCGTCTCACATTGCTCCTGATCAAACCACTCCACCGCCGGAAAACATCCCGCAGAGCCCGTGGGCTTCTCTGCCGCCGGAATTGCTCCATGACATAATCCGGAGGGTCGAAGAGAGCGAGACCGCTTGGCCAGCTCGAGCAGCCGTGGTCTCTTGTGCCTCTGTCTGTAAATCATGGAGAGGAATCACAATGGAGATTGTTAGAATCCCTGAGCAGTGTGGGAAACTCACTTTTCCGATCTCACTGAAACAGGTAAAAGAAAGTCTTCTTCTTCTTCTTCCATATTTGTTCTTCTTCTTCTTCTTCCATGTTCAAATCTCTAAGTCTCTTGTTTGGTTTTGTGAGCAGCCTGGTCCACGAGACTCTCCTATTCAATGCTTTATCAAGAGGAACAGAGCAACAGCTACATACATTCTCTACTACGGCTTGATGCCTTGTTAGTGTTGATTTTATGCCTTATGAAAATTGCTGCTGAACAAATGTGTTGTTCTAACCATATGATCCTTTTGTAGCTGAGACGGAGAGCGACAAGCTCCTGTTAGCAGCAAGAAGGATCAGAAGAGCGACGTGCACGGACTTTGTAATCTCACTCTCTGCAAAAAACTTCTCACGGAGCAGCAGCACTTATGCTGGCAAACTAAGGTATGCAAATTTGTATTGAGCATCAACTATTCGAAAGCTCTGTTTTTCTAAATAGTTGTGTGTTGTGGTATATAGGTCTGGCTTTTTAGGAACCAAGTTTACAATATACGATAACCAGACAGCATCATCCACAGCACAAGCTCAACCTAACAGAAGACTTAACCCTAAGCAAGCATCACCTAAGTTACCTGCAACAACTAGCCATACCGCGGGAAACATAACCTACGAGCTCAATGTTCTACGCACAAGGGGCCCTAGGAGAATGCATTGCGTTATGGACTCTATACCACTCTCTTCTGTTATCGCTGAAGCAGCATCAGTAGGTAAAGGCATTAAAGAGGAGGAAGTAGTCTCTTCCTCACCTTCGCCGAAAGGAGAAGCCAGCGCAGAAACGGAGAGAGAGATCGCTGATGTTTCTCCAAGCTTGTTGGATCAGCCGCTGGTTCTGAAAAACAAATCCCCAAGATGGCACGAGCAGTTGCAGTGCTGGTGCCTCAACTTCAAAGGGAGAGTGACGGTTGCTTCGGTTAAGAATTTCCAGCTTGTGGCAGACATTGATCCTTCTTTAGATGCGACGCCTGAAGAACATGACAGAGTGATCTTACAGTTTGGGAAGATCGGCAAGGATATATTCACCATGGATTATCGCTACCCTCTCTCTGCTTTTCAAGCCTTTGCTATTTGCATCAGCAGCTTTGACACCAAACCGGCCTGTGAAGGGTAAAGTCATCATAGAAGAAAGGCTTTTCAGGTTTTGAGAAGCTCTCTTTTGTATGTAGATTGTTGTAGCTCTTTGCATAATGCTTTTAAAACCTGCCTCTCCTAATTCGATGTGACAAAAATTTGATGTGGCTAAGCTTAATGAAGTTATGATTGTTATATATCCAAATGTAATATATAAACAGAAGCCATCACACAACATATGATACTCTTGAGCTTTAAAACCTAAAGTGACAATAGACTCTTCCACAGGATTCAATAGCAATGATCTTTCACAGTCCATGATGATCTTCAAACTTGTCCTGCCCAAAAGTTCTCATCTCAGCGTGGAATAAGTGAGAAACTCCATTGAAGTAAACTGAAATGGTTGGCGCGGAATAGGATTCCTGCAATCACAAGGAGCGAAGCAAAGGCAGCCACAACGTCAAATCACACAGTATATACACAAATGTGCAGGTTTAAGTCAGTGAAGGAGACTTACGGTCTAGGGCCGTAAACTTTGATCTGACGGATATGAGTATCTCTCCCATTGAGGTGATTCGACAAAATGGCTATCTGCAACATGAATGTATTGACAAATGTTTCCCTGTGAAGAGAATCACAATGGTTATATGCTTAGTAACTTACATATACAAGTAGTTCGTATGAATCAACTCGAGACACCAGAAGTTAGTTTACACATTTAGTATGCTAAAACTCAAAGCCAATGGCTCAAAAGCTGACATATCTCATAAGTGGAAACTCTTTACAAGTTAAAAAAACACAGAACCAAAAATCTGATCATGGAGCTAACATTGCAGCAAAAAGAATCTCTGCTCATCTTATCAGAAGCTATCATGATTTGATAAAAGAAACAAAACCACATACCGTGGATCTGTTCCAGACAAAGATAAGGAAACCCAACCAGTTGGTTTAACAAGCTCCACACTTTTTATCTCCTAAACAATGAAAACATCAATTCATCAGAAGTTAGAATCAAAAGTAGAGAAAGAACTTCAGAAAAAAAAGATTCACCTTTAAGTTATGGAAGCCATCACCAGCTCGAATAGAGATTTTACTTGGCGTATAGCTCTCGTCAAGCTTAAAGTCAACGTACATAACCACTAGCTTTCAAATCGAAAAAGGGTCAAATCAGTAACGAAAACTTTGAAGATCTGAATCTATTATCATCAACAATACCTGCAATCTCACTTTCTTCTGGAATTGAATGTTAATCAGATGTGGTTGTAAACCATCTGATCTGCAAATGCAAGAAAATGCCCAAATTTAGCGAGATAGAGAAGAATTAGAGGAAAAGAGATGGAATCTAGGGTTTTTTAAAATCTATTTAACTGCCAATAGGTCTCGAGGTTGTCGTCGCGGAGAGTGTTGACGCCATTTCCGGGCTTGCAAGAGCTAACGCTCCAAGCGGCGTTCTTCCCCATCTCTCTCAGATCGTCGTCTACAATTAGCTTATCGTTTCCTCCTCTAATCTTTCCTTCTTCCTCCGATTCAGATGATTCCGTCGCCATATCTATCTCCGGTGTTCAGATCCGAGATTCGAGATTTGAGTTTTCCCCAATTTTCTGCTAAAACCCTCCAACGAGGTTTTGAATTTCGTCTTATGGGCTCAGTGGCTTAGGACGCTCATAGTCAAACGTCATGTCGTTAATGAGCGCTTAAAACGACACGATGTTTGGTATCCTTAAACAGAAACGACATGATTCTGTACTTTCACAGACTAATTACTCTTTAAATTGCTTGGTCTGACTGATATGTCAGATGAATAACAGAATAGCGGAATAACTGAAAAATTACTAGCATAATGAACTGAACTGAATAATATTTTAGCTGAATAATTGTAAAACGCTGAAAAGCTACTTTTAGGGTTTGAATGGTATGCAGCTTTTTCACGTTTTCACGTTTTGGAAACTTGATTCTGTTATTTTTTACCATTCATGTTATTCATCACGTTTTCACGTTTTTTTATGTTTTTGAAACGTGATTCCGCTAGCGTGTTAAAAATATAACTACAAAAAAACAAAACGTGATTAATCTACTAAAAGTAGCTTTTCAGCGTTTCACAATTATTCAGCTAAAATATTATTCAGTTCAGTTCATTCTGCTAGTAATTTTTCAGTTATTTCGCTATTCTGTTATTTATCTGACATACCAGTCAGACCCTTAGTAGATTAATCACGTTTTGTTTTTTTTAGTTATATTTTTAACACGCTAGCGGAATCACGTTTCAAAAACATAAAAAACGTGAAAACGTGATGAATAACATGAATGATAAAAAAATAACATAATCAAATTTCCAAAACGTGAAAACGTGAAAAAGCTGCATACCATTCAAACTCTTTATATTTATTAATATGATTCAAGCCCCATTTACACAATAAAAAAATGTCACTGATTCGAAAATCTTTTTGAATCATATTGTAAATATACAAAATAAATAATTTATGTGTTAGTTATATAGTTGCCTCCATATATACTATATAGTTGACTGAAAATTATTTGGAAAAATATGATTTTTGAGAGTTTACTAAGGAAAAATGGTGTTAACTATAAGGTTGTCAACGTTTAGCTGGCCGAATTGTCTTCAGCCGATTTATCTTCTGTTTATCCGACAAAGCACGTAAAACAGACGTCTGGCGAACTGATGGTGAACATACATTCCTCCTTATTCACAAGCTGTTTGTGTGATCTTAGAACCAGCATAAACCTGATGCCTCTCTCAACTACCAAGAGTTTAGACTTTACAAACTTTATCCCAAAAGATCATCCACAGCACCAAGCCACAATGTAAACGACTGATTTGAGCTAGAAATGTTTTAAAAATATCAATGTAAACGACTTACTATTTTCTTTTTCCAACTTTGTCAATGTACTATAAATCTATTACTATACTACTATAGTGATATTTTATAATGCTACTGATGCTGACACAATTTCTCTCTATATATATATATATAGTAAATTCGTAATATGTTTTCTAAAAGTAGCTTTCAATCTAACAAGTGGGTCAATGTTCTTTTCTTATATCAATTTTTATAACTAATGATCTAATCCATGAACTGTCTGATTTTGACAAGATCTATGACAAGATATTATCCATAACCAAAAATTAAAAAAAAAACTAGATGTAGTTTTTGAAGAATGAGAGTAGTTGAGAGATCGAATGTTGAAGGATGAGAACCACAAAGAGTGGGCATCTTTGTGGTTGCAGAGATTTTTATTAACCAAAGTGGACCTTCTTTTGTTCTTTCGGTTCTTTTGAGATTTTATTTTTCTATCTTTCTCTTCTGACATTTATTGGAATTTTCTTATATATTTTTAAAAATTCTATAAAAATAATTAATGTGGTGTCGTTATCAGAAGAATTGAAAGGAATTTTTTTCGTTGCTTTCTGAAAAATACATGAAATTGCTTTCATTCAACAATCTCTAATAAAGTATTTATTAATTAATTTTATATATGATCTCAATTTTGTTAACACTTACTCCCTCTGTTTCATAATAAGTGTCATTTTAGGAAAATGTATCTGCATTATAACTAGATGTATTAACATCAAAACACATCCACCTACAAAAGTGGTTCCAACTTCCAAAAGAGGTAACTATTTTTTTTCTTTTACTTTTCTAGCTCCAATCATTTTGAGTTACTATTTTTATTTTATTTAAAAAAACTTGTAATTAATTCTTCGACAAAAAAAAAATAACCCTTTTCAAATAAATTTAATTTTCTTACAATAAATTTGATACGTTACCCAAAAAATAAAAGTTATTTTGTGGATAGTTGAAACATCTCATAGTTCAAACATTTATATCATGTAGTTCGCAATACTTCAAACATTTATATCATGTAATTCGCAATACATTTTGATTACTATATATACCTATTTTTGGAGTAAGTATGAGGCATCATGTATCTGTGTGTCCACCATAATTTAAACTGCTTTATGCTTAGGCTGATGAACGGGCGTTTAATAGATACTAATCTCTAATTTTGCTCGTTTTTATCATTTATTTAAGGCTGTAACTGGTGACCATAAGGAATAGTAAGGAATACTAAATTTCTTATCATTCTTTAAAAATTACACTATTTAAAAGGAATATATTGTACTCATGATTTCTTCTTATTTCTTATGTTTTATGGAACTATAATGTTAATATATTCCCTATAAAAAATGAGAAAGAACAATAATTTCTATTATTTTGTTCTTTTCGTTTCTTTTCCTATTCATTCCTATTGTTACTTTTATGGTCACCGGTTAAAACTTAAGTTTTCTCATATGCTAATGAGTGAAAACTTATACTTGTGACAAAAAAAAAATACAATATATATATTATTTTTTTGGTCGAAAAATACAGTATATATTTAGAAATAATATCAAACTGATTAAGTAAAAAAAAAAACTGATTAAGTGGTCCGGCCTAGGCAGTAGGCACCGTTTACTCGATCATCCATCTTCTTCACCGATGTTTTATAAAATCATGGCGACCTAATTGTTCTATTCCATTGTTCGATCATAATTGTTCTACGCGAGCAGATTGATGGTAGCATATTATTGATTATAAAGATTGGAACATTACACAAGTTGCGGAAGAAAAAGAAAAAAAGAAACATGAAAAATGATTAATAATTTTCTTCAATATTATTATATCCAACAAGGAGATCACCACAAGAGTTTTTCTCTTTATACTACAGTTCTACTACACATATAAAAAAAATACTATTTATCTATTCTCTTTGTTTATATATATTCTCTTATAAAACAAAATTTATACAAAGATTGATGGTGACAGGACCATTAAATTGCTATCTCCAGTTCTTCTGGTTTAAATATCAGAAAACAAGGATCAAAGGACAAGGCAAAAGCTGGAATGTTTTTTTTTTCTAAGAATAAAATTGTGAAATTGTCCCTTTGATGAGCAAATATAATGGAATCTGGTTCTGATTCTGATGACGATTTCAATAATGCTGCTTCGATGAATCTTTCTTAGTACTGAAAACCAA